TTGGTGTAAAGGCTTTCCACGTCGAAACTAATTAGTTGATCTTCCTGTGTGACCTCAATTTACCCTAGTAGTTCGACAAAATGCCTTGAATTCTTCAAAAAAGACGATGTTTTTCCTTGTAATGGTTGTATTAAGGAAAGTACAAATCTGGACAAGTTTTGAGTAGCCGAATCTCTGGAGCTGATGATCGGTTTAGTTGTTCCAGGGATTTCAAATCATTTAATATAGTAGACAATGGAAGTCCGAACTAGTGAAATTCACTCCTCTACGTTACGTACGTTCCTAATATAGGGACATACGTAACGTAGCTCGAGATATATATTTCTGCCCATCTTAGTCTGCATGAACCTGTTCATCGCCAACGGTCAGAGCAAGTGTCCTGGATGTGACACCATCCAAGACAAGTAAGATCTTCTCTTGTTTCAGATTGGCGCTTATATCTGCTTGCTATACTGATACTGGTTTACTGCATTTATTTACTTCTTTACATTTCGGGTCCAGCTATCCATAGAACGCATCCTAGAAGCACGGTAGATTTATGAAGAATATTAAACAAAAAGATGAATCTTGATATTAATTTAACATATTGGACGTAAACCTGAAGTATTCTTCGGGTGCTCACTTTAATTGTCAATCTGTTTTATGCCTAATAGTCGCTAGATACTGTGAAGTAAACCTAGGTAGTATTGAATATCATTTCCTGATAAGTTGAAGGTTATTGGACCCAGCATATCTCTCCGACTCCGAATATGTGACTTGGGAAGTATGTATTTTGTGAAGCATTTTAAGGAGGCGCCCTCCCATGGGTGTAATGGCTGCAGGGTAATACTATATCAGCCACCAGCCAGGAGATGCTCTCCTGATCATATCAGATAACCTGCAGCTATGCAGGCCGGAAACTGAAGATTTATAATTGTACCTGTGGCTCGTTTCCTGGAATATCCTCTACGACAAACGTAAGACATAATGAAGATAGTTCGGTTCATTTTTAGATATTACGTTCGTTCGTTGTTCAAGATTTAAGATTTCCACTTTAATGACCGCAGCAACAATCCCATATACATTAGATTGAGTCATGCAGGGCGTTCTTGATTTTGGTTTGGGTGAATCATCTGTTGAGCGAAGGCGTTTGTATACTTGAGAAGTATCTTTCCTCTCCTGATGCAGATTTCGGTTCTATTCCTCAAGAATTTCGTGCAAGGCAGATCTATAATGTATTTTGCTCTGGAGTAGGCGACTAGGTCGCTTCTTGGATGCACCACCTGTTTGGGCAACTAAGAAGCTCTTGTTCTTTATACGGTGTTAACGTCGTTTAGCCATGCTTTAAGATAAAGCCATTATTGGAATGTCACTCGGTACTGATCTTGTTATGCCGATAACAAGCGGTACTACAAAAAAGCAGACATCCGACAGCTGAATTTCCTTACCATTCAACGACCCAAGCTTACACATATGCAAACAGTAGCAAGAATGGCCAAATGAAACTCGCCTACTTGCTTATGTAATTTAATGAAAATAACTTTTGAAAAGTGTCAGATCTTAAGTTCGGCATTTGTTGTCATTTCAAAATTGATTTATTACTTTGCTTCAAATGATAATTAAAGCAGACCTGAATTTGTTTTATTATCTACATGAAAATGCAAATAAAAATGTGTATACAATGTATTAACACTATTATATATCAGCAAAATGTCTACATCCTCGTGCAATAGACATCACATGATAATGATACAATGTGTCAATTAACTTTTCTTTCGTTCTGCTTGTAAGCATTATTAATATCACTGTAATTCGATTCAATTTGATTCAATAATTCACCTTATTCTTATTCAAGTTATATTTTTCGAAATTTGTTTACCAACGGATGAATCTTGTATAGTCGGACTTTTAGTTCTAACTTTCAGTTCTATTTAGTAAAAATATTCTCGACTGCATTTTGTGATCGCCTTCTTTAATTAATACTTCAAAAAACTTCACTGTAGTTAACATTAATGTTGGATTTTCCTAGAGTTTTTGAGACGATTACGTAATTCCCAGAAATTAAATGATTGTTTTGGCCTTGAGTTTTAATGAACATGTTTCTTACTTAACGAATGGGTGGAAACCAAATTATTGAATAGTATGTTTATGAAATGGTGTCCAGAATTAAAAATCCAAATGGTGAATAAAACCCCAAAATCATTAAATAATGCTACTTTGGGAACTAATGAAAAAAATTATTGTTAAAGAACAAAAACTCGGTCCTTCTGAAATTAATATCAATTGTATGACTTGTATTGTAATTCAAAAACGTATTATCTCTTGGATTTTTTTAAAGGCAGATCATAAGTACTCTGGTAGGATAAAATCAAATTCGCTCCGTTATACCTTCTATATGAATAAAAAAAATATAGATGTTGAAATCAGGTTGGAAATCCATTCTGCGACTTCAGTAAGTATATAAATTATATGTTCCAAAGTAATTTTGACTTGACCTTCAATTTTCAGAACAATCCAGAAAACTCTAGAATGTTCGGGAATAGTCTGAAACGTTCGAAACATCCCAGATCATTGTAATTTAGAACACTCTCAAATATTTTGGAATGTTCTGTAACATTCGAAGCCTTTTCTG